AAGTTCGTGACTAGGTTGGAATGGCTGACCGGTCACATGGTCACACATTTTAAAGTAATCCCCCCCCAGTTTTTTAGCGGTGGAATGTGGGACCGCCAATAGGCAAGAATTCCAACGCTTTGTCAGCTGTTCAAGGGCAGATCGGCTTCGCAGATCGTATGTGCAGGAGAACTGATCTGCCCCGTAACAGCTGACCGCTTCTGAAATGTCACTTCTATAGGACTTTGTGGAATGTGAGATCGCACTCACAAAGTCAGGTAGAAGTGACATTTCAGAATGCACAGTGCAGGTCTCCTGCACATACAATCTGCTATGCCGATCAGCCCTGGAACAGCTGACCACGACCGGTCACACATTCTAACCTAGTCACAAACTTACAAACTTTGATAGAACACCGGCTGGTTTGCGTTCCAAAGGCTGAACACTCTGGAACGCAGACTTTGTGGTGTGAACAGGCCCTCTCTCTCACCTAGCTCTCTGCTCTCTCTCTCCTAGCTCTCTGCTGTCTCTCTCCTAGCTCTCTGTTGTCTCTCTTCTCTCTCCTAGCTCTCTGCTGTCTCTCTTCTCTCTCCTAGCTCTCTGCTCTCTCTCTTCTCTCTCTCTCTCTCCAAGCTCTCTGTTGTCTCTCATCTCTTCTAGCTCTCTGCTGTCTCTCTTCTCTCTCTGCTGTCTCTCTTCTCTCTCTCTGCTGTCTCTCTTGTGGCTGTCTTTTCCTACCTGGACTCCAGCAGCTTTCTGGGTCTCCTCTGAGGTGCGGTGTCCTGTCCTCGTGCAGTGCTCCTGTGGCTGAATGTGCAGACTGGGAGAGGTGTCCCGCCCCTTCCCGTCTGCAGCTTCTGATGAATTCTGCCGCTCGAACACCGCGGGAGGACAGGACACAGGTCAGTGAGCCAATCGCGATCTACCAGTGTCCGCTTTGCGATTTACTGGTAGATCGCGATCGACCTAATGGGCACCCCTGCCGTTGGAAGTATGACTGCACTGCTTGGTGGAGCTCTGCGATCACATGACACCTTG